TGCGGTTCACTTCCAGCTCCAAAAAATTGTCGGTCTAGAGGCAAGAGCTTCGGAGCTATGACGCGGCGTCGCTTACGTCTCTCTTACGTCGAGGCGTGCAGGAAACTAAACCCACCTCCCCTGAACATGGGTCGACTGAAGAGTCTCGTCATGCCTGCCTACAAGCAGTAGCGCTGAGCAAAGTGACCACATTAATAAACAATGAACCACGGCACTCTGGAGAAAAGTATAAGGTTGAAGAAGTCGTTATTTAATTTAATCTGGCTTCGTATGATTAAAAGCAACGCGATCATCGACCCGACGCAGTCCCCCCCCCCCCCCCGTTGTTGTTGTTGTGAGCTCCGGCGTTGGGGAGAAAATCAGCGATGTAAACGGTGACGTCATGACGCAGCAGCGGCAGCTGGGCGGTGTGAACAGAGCGGGAGCTGAAAAGGGAAACCGGAGCTGAACCAGAAAAGCTCTAGCTAGGAGCTAGAAAGGGAAAAGCGCTGGTGTGAAAGCCGCATTAGTGATGGGAATTATGGCTCTTTGAAGGGAGCCGGATCTTATGGCTCCGTTCCTTTCAAAGAGCCGTTCAAAAGAGCCGTTTTTTTTAAAAAGGGGGCGGGGTTACTAGGTTTATCTGCGAAATAATCACCAGGATAATGATTGACTGCATTGCCAGACCTAATGTCAATAATCTGCATTGTAAACATGACACAAGGTGGCGCCATATCCATGTCATTCATGTCAGTGAATGTACTTTGAATTTACCCTCTGTATGTGTTAAGTCAATAAAGTTGCCTTGCCTTGAATGAAATTCACGCAACTCTTAATATTAGTAGTGTGTTTTTAAGTGGCGATGGAGATTATTTGTTGACCCTGCTTTAAAGGATATTTTGCCTTTACAAATGGTGCGCTTTATCACTGCCTGGGTTTTGGTTGAAGTGCATCCAAATGCTGCTGCGTTTTCGCGTTTGGCTCATTTTCCATCCGAAAAACACGTCGTCTATCTGTCCCGTACCACTTGTTATGACTTGACTTCTCTCTCTCGCGTATTCCATTAAGACCCACCCCACCTAACTCCTCGTGCTGAAAACCTACCAATCAGAGTAGGGGCGGGTCTTCACAGAATACGTTTGGGGAACAAAATCAAGCTTTTTAAAAGGCAAGTGGATTTTGGCAGGCAGTGAGTGCGGACCAACGATTGAACGATAACAAGAACGGCTCTCACCAAGTACGACTCGGTTCCCCTCGTTCGTACCAAAGAGCCGTTCAAAAGAATCGGCTCGTTCGCGACCGACACATCACTCTCTTGACATGTGTGCATCTAATAAATAACGCTGAGATGAATGGCTAAACTTGAACTGTGAGAATAGTCACCTTTCTGCTGCAGAGAGACAAAAGGTATAAGTCTAAATCTGCTAACAGATACTTTATTGATCCCAATTTGGGAATGTATTTTGTTACAGAAGCATCAGTGTGCTCAGACATTACAATACAAATACTTAAAGGGCCCATGTCATGGCCATTTCCACTGATCATAATTACATTGTTGAGGTATACTAAAATAGATTTATACTGTGCAATTTTCCAAACTCACATTGGTTTCGCATACAGCATCTCTGTCAAGCATGTGTATTCAGCAGTATTCACTCTCTCCACTAAACGACTGGTTGGAGCTCTTGCCCCCCCCTCCCTGTGAGCCTAGTGTGCTCCGATTGGTCAGCTCGGCCACTCTGTTCTGATTAGTCAACCACCAGAGAGGCTGCGCCCATGTCTAAACGGCTGCTCTCAGCCGAACATCAGTCTTATCATGGCGTCGGTACAGCCGTATATTTTATATACATATATATATTTTTAACTGTTGTTATAGAAGAGTGTGACGGCCCCAGGGCCTTTGTCTTACGATGGGGTGGAGCTGAAGAGGCTAATCAGCGCGATCACGGACACCTGGCCGGAGCCGAGGTGCTAGCCAGCTGCCCGGAGTCAAACGGCGGCCCCTCTCTCCCTCCAAGCAGCTCAGCGATCCTCTCCCCTCGACCACCTATCTCTGCATTTACCACAATAAATGTGCCGTGGTTTTGTAAACTCGTGTATGTCTCCTTGTCTTTCCGTTGTGGCCTACGAGCCGGTCATAACAAAGAGTAAGTTATTTTTACCCGTTATAAACTACTACTGTTTGATGAGAAATCAAATCATGGTTTGCTATATATAAATGATATGTTATAGGAGCAAATAATTCAGGGAAGAAAGGATAGGCCTACTAAGTATTTCCATTAAACTTTATTTTTAGAAATGTACAAAATGAACGTAAATATACATATATACACGGTATATCGTCAATTACTCCCCGTTGTCGGCATCTTGCTTATAGCAGCCGGGGCTTTTTGAGACGATGCCTCAGTGTGGTCGTCCAGTCATGTATTGTCTGGCAGGATCTACCTGGATGAAATAAAATGCAAATCACAAAATATTAGAGAAACTTAGTTGTTTTAGATTCGTTAGTAGTAGTTGTGGTAGGAGTGTGGATCTATCTAATGAACAGCTTGCCTGCTAATATGCTAACCTAGCTTTGTTTACCTTGGTAGCTAACACGATATGAACGTTAGCTTGGAGGAACGGCAACTATAATGTAGTGTAATAAAACTACTATGAACAAAAGCTAGTGGTTCATATTAGGCTAGCAATAACGTGTTTATAATTGCAATATTATACGGGTATTCTGCTACGTTCGGTCATACATTGTAACTTGCATGAATACATTGTTTTGCGCTAGCATACAGCTAGCCTCGTTAGCTATACATGTACATGTACTGTCACAATGTACGGTAAATCACCCGGAGTATACTGTATGAGTATTCCGTGTGTGTGACTGCAGACATTCTCCTGCCATGACAAACATGTAAGGCCATCTGCTGACATTGTAGTTGATATATTTAAACGCTAGCAACGTAGCATAACAAAAATGTTTTTCCGACCAAACTAAGGTCTAGCTCCGTCGGTTAGATTGGTAGCATACACGCTACGCCAGCTATAATGTAATTACGTTTCGCGACTGACCGTACGGTAAATCACCAGGAGTATACGGTCTATGACTATTTCGTGTGTGAATGCAGACATTATCCAGCTATGAGGAACATGTATGTAAGGCGATCTGCTAATATTGGAGTTGATATATGGAAACGCTAGCAACTTAGTTAGCACAGTTAGCACTGGCTTAGTAGTCCGAAACATGTTTACACATTTAAACAGTCGTGGTAGATACCTTGTTTGATAAATACACAAATAACAATGCAAACTTACAGGTTGTGTACCCGTATCTTCCCCTGCTCCAAACGGTCCAAACAAGCTGTGCATATCCGGCCTCAAACTGGGCAATGTTTTGGAAGCTTTCGTCTGTGAAATGCCGGTTCTTCGAACCTCTGGAGGAACAGTGTTAAAAAGACATTTCAACCACTGACTTCGTCGTGGTTCTTCCGTCGGTAGGACAAACAGCTCAGATTTCTCCTCACATTTCAGGAAACAGGTCCTTGGCAGTGGCATGACTGGATCGATTGTGAACTGAACCAGAGCTTCCAACAGTAAATGTTAGGCTGGCAGAGGGTGCGGCCAGCGCCGCTGGGTGTGGCCATAGCTCTTCGGGATTGGTCCATTTCGTTCCGGGTACCGCATGACATCAGGCCGTACCCGGAACTAAATGGAAGACTCAAATGGGTAGTGACGTATCTCCAACGAGGCGTTTTGGGGAGGTATTTTCTGTGTTAGAGTTTTACTCGCTACAGGGTGTACTTTGAGGGTTTTGACTCTGCACACCGTTTACATGCATAAAAACCTTCATAACACACAAGGGGACGGGTAATAACCGGAAAAGCATGACATGGGAGCTTTAAAAAGTGGAAAACAAATACTTAAAAAGTGGAATTGTGACATGAATTGATTTAAAAACAATATTATATAGTAGATCATTTAAGATTCCTTCAAAACCCGTTTTATTGGATTTGAATGCATGTTCTATTATTTATGAAACTACTGGGATGTGATGTTACTGGTTACCTGAACTGACAGGTGTGTTTTATTGTGGCCGGGGGAGATATGGCAGTTGAAACCATAGACTATATCGAGGTTGGAGTGCGCTAAACGTGATTTGGCACTCTTTTGGGTGAGAGGGTGTCGAGCTGTGTAGACCTGCCACCGAGACTCAGGGCCGGTTTTACAGATTTCGAGCCATGGTCTCTCGTAGTGTGTGGCTGCCGCAAGGCAACACCGATCCCCGGGTGTCTGGTGAAAGTGTGCCGTGTTCAGGTGGTGAGCCTAGAAATCCAGCCGTGTGTTAAACCGTGTTTAGAGGGTTTCACTTGGTTTCTCAGCCCAGCGGGGGTTCCCGGTGTCTCCTGGTCCGGATGTGCGTCCTCTCCCCTCCATTTTATGTATGGTGGTTTAATAATAACGATTGGCTATATGTTGTAGGCTATATATCTGTGTCTGTGGTTATTTGATTTTTTTTAATTTTTTTTAATTTTTAAGTACTTAATAATATGGTCTTTAATACTCTGTTACATAAGTAAAAGTATAACCATTAAAATATAGTTAAAGTACCAACATTAAAAGTACTTGTTATGCATTATTTCATTTTGGTTTTTATTCTGTTTTTATACATGAGCATTTTAGTATAGTAGTTTGTCAATGTTGACAAATGTAGGTACAGCAGTAGCCTACAGTACAGCATTATACTATCTGTTTTATATTTACAAATGACTATGAGTGCTAAAATGTATGTAGTGGAGTAAAAAGTACAATATTTGCCTCTGAAATGTAGTGAAGTAGAAGTCAAACTTAGCATTAAATGGACATTTAAAAAGTAAAAACGTGTCAAAAAAGTACAATACTTGAGTAAATGTTAGTTACTTCTTATTACTGATGTCATGTGACCCAATGACTCAAAATCAATGCAGAGTTGTATACATTTTGTCATATGTACTTCACCAGCACTGCTTTTATCATTTTTAATTTATTTCTAGGAGAAGCCTTGGGGGACATTGTGTCGCTGAAGATCCAAGCCATTGCTGGAGAAACGGTGATTCTGCCCTGCACCGTCAGTGTAAAGGTTGACGCTGTCATCCCATCAGTGGAGTGGTCCAAGGAGCATGAGTACCCCACCATCGCCTTCCTGTATCGAGATGGCTGTGAGACCTTTGAGGAGAAGAATCCGACCTTCCAATACAGGACAAACCTCTTCCTGAAGGAACTGGAGAGAGGAAACGCATCGCTGAGGCTTTCCAACGTGCAGCTGTCGGATGCAGGAGAATACAAATGCAAGACGATGATTAAGGGTCGACCCCGGGAAGTGGGTTCCATAGAGCTGTCTGTGGGTGAGTCCAGACATTTTATATCAAAAAAGGTGTATATACTCCACTACTTCCCACCATACTGATTGGATCAAACCCTAACCCAACCCCAAAAGTACCATATGACGTCCTATAGAGAACCGCTGTGACGCGTCCTAAAACCCGGAAGTAAACTCCTTCCGGTTCCTTCGACAAAAAAGCAATGAGATTTCTCCATAGGATTTTGGAAAATAGCTGGAAATAAGGTCTGTGGTTGAGACACATTAAAGAGACGGATCACGTTTTGTTCTGCCGGATAATATCCACATGTGTCTACCCTACTTTTATCATTTTCGAATCATAAATCTAGTCGCCAGAAGCAAAATGCTAACGTTATGCTATAAAGGAACTACAGCAGGGTCGCTGCTTCAACGTCACGCCAACTTCAGATCCATATTCAAACATACAGATTCAAAATGGTACAAGTTGAAGCGTTTGTTTGAACAGTTTGCAGGAGGCAGGTACTTGCTTTCAAGCAGAACACGGGGAAGACAAACTTAGCGGGAGTGTTTTACGTGTTCGGTGTAATGACGTAAAACGGCCTGGACAACTTCTGAAGTCCTATTCAGCCACATGTTAACAACCATCGTTTTTCAGACACGTAAACTCTTCAAAAATCACTAGTGGGTTCACTGCTGATGTATGTAATGTCGTAGAACAAAACGTGATCTGTCTCTTCAATTTGTGTCAACCACAGACCTTATTTCGAGCTATTTTCCAAAATCCTATGGAGAAATTGCATTGCTTTTTGTCGAAGGAACCGGACGTGGTAAAAATGCTAACTTACTTCCGGGTTTTAGGATGCGTCACTGCGGTTCTCTATTGGATCTCAAACCCAAATTCTCTCATTTTTCGACGGGAGTTTAAATATGTCGATCAGGAGAAAAAGAGAGAGAATCTTATTTGCTGAAACTTTCTGAGCCTCTTAACATACTGGGGACACATTCATGTATAAAAGACATTCAATTTGCATATTAGGTGACATTTAAGTACAATTTTGAGGTACTTTTACTTGTAACAGAGTATTCCTACACTCTGGTATTTCTACTTTTACTCGGGTACAAGATCTTAGTACTTCTTCCCGCTCTGCGCACAGGCCTAATTGTTTATACAGAACATATTCAGGTGCTGTAGACATATATGCTTTGATGTGTTTATCTTTTTATCATTTACTTAATCAAAAGTACAAACACTATAGTCTTAAAACACACTTCATGTAAAATCCCTGATTACAAAATGAAGTATCATCTTGTAAACTCTTGTTTCTTTAGGTGCGGTTTCTGAGCCGAAGCTCTCAGTAGTTTCAGCTGAGGACAGGAAAGTGACTCTGCAGTGTGAGGCCAACTGCTTGTTCCCAAAGCCTGAGATCACATTTCTTGACGCTCATGGAAATATCATCAGTGATGAAAACACAAAGACTGCTTTCGACTTCAAGCGCGATTGTTTCAACATCACAGGGAGAGTGACGGTGCAGGCTGGCAACAGGTGACATTTCAGCTATTTTATATCATATGTTTATAAAGTGGGGTAGGAATGAGTCCTTAAACCCAGAAATGAGTTTGACCACTTCCAGTCTCAAAGTCAAGGTTGACAATAAGGTCTATGTTTGACACAAGTTTAAAGGTCCCATGTCATGGCCATTTCCACTGATCATAATTCCATTGTTGAGGTCTACTAGAATAGATTTATATTGTGCATTTTTCCAAACTCACATTGGTTTCTCATACAGCATCTCTGTAAACTACGTGTATTCACTGAATTTCACTCTCTGCCTTTAACGGCTCGTTGTAGCTCCAATAGCTCCAGCCCCCACCCTCCCTGTGAGCACAGTGTGCTCTGATTGGTCGGGACGTTGTGAATCGCGCTGAGCTCCGTGGAGGTGTTGTTTCCTTGTTAGCGATACACAGCGAAACACAGCCAAACTCATCCTGAGCACACACAAAGTCACAGCCGAAGTAAAAACAATAAGTGTGGCTTGATATTGAGTAAGAAAAAGGTTGATAAACGCTGTGAGAATGGGTCTGCAGAGAGAATTTCGCCGCAATCCCAACTGTCTGTTATCAGCCTGCAGCCAGGGAGGAGAAATCAGCAGAGCTGCCTGCTCCCTGCACACAGATGTGTGTGTGAGGAAGTCCGTGGATTGGTCAATTTGGACCAATCAGCGGGGGCTTAACGTAACGGCTCCGCGGACGTAACGTAACGGCTCCACGGATTGGTCCATTTGGTTCCGGGTACCGCATGACGTCAAGCCGTACCCGGAAGAAACATTGGACAATGACGTATCAGTGACGAATCTCCAACGAGGCGTTTTGGGGAGGTATTTTCTGTGTTAGTTTTACTCGCTACAGGGTGTACTTTGAGGGTTTTTGACTCTGCACACGGTTTACATGCATAAAAACCTTCATAAGACACAAGGGGACGCGTAATAACTGGAAAAGCATGACATAGGCCCTTTAAGAGATTTAACGTTTTGTTCTAAGACATAAAATACGTCAGTAAATACCCAACTGGGGAATTTGTGAAGAACTTCTATTGGTCCAAAAAACAAAGGTTGCTAACATGTGTCTAAATGAGACGACTAAACATCATCACGCCCAACATTAGCCGCCTTTAGCTTAGCAGTGGTGACGTGAAGTCATGTGACCATGCTGTAGTTCCTTTATAGCCCAACATTAGCCACCTTTAGCTTAGCGGTGGTGACGTGAAGTCGTGTGACCGTGCTGTAGTTCCTTTATAGCCCAACATTAGCCGCCTTTAGCTTAGCGGTGGTGATGTGTAGTCATGTGACCGTGCTGTAGTTCCTTTATAGCCCAACATTAGCCACCTTTAGCTTAGCGGTGGTGACGTGTAGTCATGTGACCGTGCTGTAGTTCCTTTATAGCCCAACATTAGCCGCCTTTAGCTTAGCGGTGGTGAAGTCATGTGACCGTGCTGTAGTTCCTTTATAGCCCAACATTAGCCGCCTTTAGCTTAGTGGTGGTGAAGTCATGTGACCGTGCTGTAGTTCCTTTATAGCCCAACATTAGCCACCTTTAGCTTAGTGGTGGTGACGTGAAGTCATGTGACCGTGCTGTAGTTCCTTTATAGCCCAACATTAGCCTCCTTTAGCTTAGCGGTGGTGACGTGAAGTCATGTGACCGTGCTGTAGTTCCTTTATAGCCCAACATTAGCCTCCTTTAGCTTAGCGGTGGTGACGTGAAGTCATGTGACCGTGCTGTAGTTCCTTTATAGCCCAACATTAGCCTCCTTTAGCTTAGCGGTGGTGACGTGAAGTCATGTGACCGTGCTGTAGTTCCTTTATAGCCCAACATTAGCCGCCTTTCAAAGCCAGAAGGAGTGTGATGGTCTCCAACAGGTTCTTTTCAGTTTAATACTAGGGCTGTCAAGTTAACGCGTTAATAACGCATTAACGCAAAAAAAAATTAACGCCACTAATTATTTTAACGCGATTAACGCATGTGTATTTTTTGTCCTCGGCCGCCCCACCCCGTAGTTTCAGAGCGCATCGAGTGTAAAATACCATCTACAAGCTGATGCTGACAGCCCCGCTCCTGCCGCCCGCTTGTGGCAGACCACACTTCCACGCTCACCGGCAGGCCCGGACTGGCCATCGGGAGGACCGGGAGGGTGTGTGTATGTGTGGCGCGAGCGAGGCACACCTTACGTGTTGTTGTTGTTGTTAGCATCTGGTGCTAGCTAGCTGCGCTAACGGATATAAGGAGCTGTTTCAATGAAAACAGAGGAGCGACATTTCGCCGACAACTGCGCCAAGCACTTGACTTTATGCTGGTAGCCAGACAGTGGGACATTGTACGAAAAGTCAGCGCACTCAGCATGGATAGTGCGCGCAACATGATTGCAGCGTCCAGGCAGCTCCCGTTCGAGCATATATGCCTTGAGCTGCACATAGCTCCAACGATCCAACAGTGTCTCCACATTCACACACACACACACACACACACACACACACACACACACACACACACACACACACACACACACACACACACACACACACACACACACACACACACACACACAGTATTATTGTATGAGAGAGGTTCCAGGTTGAATTGAGGCGAATATTTGTAATGTTCAGGTTGTTGTGTTTAATATTCATGAGAATATTTGTCATTGTTCAAATGATAATAAACAAACATATAAAGCATATTTGTCCACTCATATGTTGATAAGAGTATTAAAAACTTGAAAAATATCCCTCTAAGGTACATTTAGAACAGATAAAAAATGTGCGATTAATTTGCGATTAATCGCGATTAACTATGGACAATCGTGCGATTAATCACGATTAAATATTTTAATCGACTGACAGCCCTATTTAATACACATTATTTTACAAAGGATGAGCAAACTGAAAGAGCAGCAGTCAAACTTGAAATACACCACAAATATATGGTTAGAAAGATGTACTTCTCCCCATCGCTCGACACTTATCTGTAGGTTTTCCAGCACAACCCTCTACATGTTTCATTGAAAACAAACTAAACCAAACTATTTTCATTACAGGGTCACCTGCAGAGTTCACCAGCATGACATAAACCAGACGAGAGACACAGAGATTTACATACGAGGTAAGATTGAGCTTTAACAATGCAACTCCATATCATATTTATGCTTTTACACACACTGTTTCTATAAAATAGGGCAATAAAATAATATGTTCTGTATCTTTTGGGTTTGGATTTTTTGGGGGGATTATCATAATTGCATGGACGATTTTCCAAGTATGATCATTTTTCTCAAATGTTGTCTTGCTGTTTCCAGATGGTAATGTCTGTATCGTTACTAGAATTATTCGATCCAAGATCATTTCCTTAAACTTATTTCTTGCACATATTTGAGTGTCCAATTCCCCCTAAATCAGATTTTTCGAGGGTTTAAAGTGTCTAATTTAGCATCATATAATATACCTTTTTATTTTCATTTCAGATGAATTCAAGACGTCCTGTACTCTAATCATCATCATTGCTGTTATAGTACCTACTATCATTTTATGTGCAATATTTGCCTGCCTATACAAGACCGGTGTCATCTCTGGTAAGTTGGAAACACTATTTTATTAAGAACTTTTGATTGTCTGCCTCTGCAAAATCCCAGAGTTCCCCCCATATTGTTTTCTGTTCATATGGTTATTTGTTCCAAGTGGCATTACAGAGGCTTTGAGGACAACATCAAGTAATACAGTTCTCTCCCTTCAGCACTGTTAATACTGCTTGTTGGTCAGATGTGCAGATTTGCATGGATTTCAACAATTCCATTGAAAATTGACCAATTGACTAATCTGGGGACTCCTTAAGATTCCCAGATTGTATCTGATTGACAATAAAAGCCTTTCCACCAAATAAAAGTGTTGATCAACAGATTTTAATGAGAACGAAACACTGGTGTTAAGTTTAATTCAAATGGCAGTAACGGTAGATGAATACAGCATATCAGGAATCGTTTTCATATTGTATTTATTTTCAGTTGGAAACTGATGTCAGTATTGATATGTTTGAAGGACATTTTGTTGTGCTTTTATACAGTGGGGGACAAAAACTGCTTTCTATGTAAGCAACACACAGAAGAAGATGACAACAGGAAAAAACAGACTGATGAGCTTCAGAGGAAAATCCGTGACCAAGAAGAGATAATACGCAGTCTAAAGGAAAAACTGGATGACTTTGGATCCAAGCAGAGTCCTGTGGTTCCCGAGTCTTCCCCAGATGTCTCAAAACCCCTGAAAACTCAAAGCAAGTTTCCCCACGACGACAATCCAACACCAGCAGCTTCAACCAACAACAACCATCAAAGTTCTGTCAGTTTACCCCAGAACAAAGACTCAAAACCCGACGTCCCAACACACATCCCTGCGTTCCCTCCGATCCAAAGGCGCAAACATAGCCACAGCAGTCCTGCTCTTTTGACCAAAAATGATGAAGTGTCCCCCAGTTCTCCTTCAGCCTCCTCTTCCTCGCTGGTTCAGCGCTCGAGGTGCATGTCCGAGTCTGGATCACGTTCAAACGGTGCCAAACCTCAACGTAGAAACACCTTCTCCCACCCATTACTGTCCGTTAACCGCTTCTCTCCTCTGACAAATCTACCTGAAGATGATTCCATGCAGCTGCTTGAATGAGAGCAGAGCAGGGTTTCTTTGTTGTTTTTCTTCAGTATAGGAAGACATCAAAACAAGAGGTCAGTGATGGAGAAAGTACATAAAGTAAAATAAGTCATACCACAGTGCAGAAAGGGAAAAAACATGCATTGATGATTTCACTCTAGTCAAAGTATTCTTAAAATACCAAAAATAAAAGTACTTATTGTGCATTTTTTTTATATAATATCGGCCAAATCATATCACTAATATACTTACAACATTTAAATGTGGAGCTAACTTTTATATATTTTTTATACGACCAGGTTGCTAAGTTCATGCCAATACATTTTCTTTTTTGTTATTAGTAAATATGGACTTTTTTAAAGAAAAAAAAGGAAAGGAAAATGTCCAAATTGTAGTAGAATAGAATAATGTTACTTAAATAGGAAATACTTAATTAAAACACTGTAATTGGTAAATGTGTACTTGGGTAAATGTAGTTAGTTACTTTGGTTTGGTGGGTTTTGGCATTACAGATGTTTACAAAATGCTCTGTTCACAGGAGTCATTTATGGGTTAGGGTTACTTGTTTAATACTCAGGAGTTTCCCCTCAATTACCTTTCTGTGCTTTTATTACAGATAACATCATGTAGTACGTTCAGATAAAGATAAAGACCACCCTCTTGTGGAAGAATCATGATATTGCTTTTTTATTCTGCTTGTTCATTCAGAGGTACATTTATTTTAGATGTCCTTTCACCTCCACCTGTCTTTGAATGCTGTGAGAAAATGTCTCATGTGAATTGTTCAAATGTGTTTACTTTCATTAACCGGTTGTTTGCTTCAGACTTTACAGTCACAGTGTATTTAATCATTTTAAGTGTTACTTGTTTAATACTCAGGAATTGATTGATTTATGTAACAGTATTAAAAGAGAAGTAGCAACCATAATAATCATAAAGAAGAACTTATTGCACAACATTGAGCCGCTTGTGTGTGTGTGTGTGTGTGTGTGTGTGTGTGTGTGTGTGTGTGTGTGTGTGTGTGTGTTGCTTCAGACTTTACAGCCACACTGTATTTATTAAACCATCCTGCATCTCAGCTGCCTGCTTATCATCCTCTGTAATGGGTTGAAGTAAACCGTCCTTTTAGCATTTCCTTTAAATACCAATTTTTGTACTTGTGTACCTTCATACACTATAAAAAAGGGAACTCTGTAAATAGACTTTGGGAAGTGCAGAACATCGGGACATGACAAATATGTCTTGTGTCTTTATTGATCGATCCTGATTATGAATTACGTTTTAAATCAATCTTCTATTCAGACTATTTAATATTCTGATTGCTTTACCACATAGCCAGAAGCTGGTGAGGGGTGTTTATGTGTTGTAAAGAATGAGCTGTATTGTCTTGTTTAATGTTGTTTATTTAAAATGTTGAAGTAGATGTGTGTGAGGTACTAAATTATATTCTTTGATGCATAAAGTAGAGGGTTGTAAGCAAATGGTAAGATGTCCATAAAACATTGAGTGCATGAATCTCCATGAATCTAAGGATGAAGTGTTAATTTAATGTGAACATGTTTCTCACACCACTTTAAAAGTTATTCTTGGATCAGCCTGAACACTTGAAAGTCGCAAAACAATGATTGGTCCAAATTCTGCTATTATCTGATAAAAGACACAAAATACCTGATATGATATTGACTTTCTAAGCACACACTTCCCATAAGAAGACTATACCGGCACCAGTATTTCAAATGTGGACACCAGGGGGCACAATAAGACAATTGAATACATTTTAAAACAGCTACTGCACTGTAAAAACTGTGACTTTAAAAAACGGTGGCAACAAAGTGACAATTAATATAATTAAATAGATTTGAATCACAACAATTTGATTAGAAAGTACTGAATAAATTGATTTTATAAAACATAATTATAATAAGTATGCCCCCTTCTGGCACACAACACTAACGCAGGTTTTAGGTCTATAGGTCCAGTCATTGTTTGACATGTTTAATGTGGAAATGTTACCCACAACAGATTCAGTTGTAACATCTGTTACTGCAAGAAGGACCGACTCACCATTGAAGGCGCAGCAAAGGGAAGGCCCGGATAGGCCCAGATCCAATCAGGATATGTATTTGTATTGGTGTAAATCCTGGCCAATGAAAAGCCTGGAATATCAGATCAGTGTGGGTGGGGTTGAACTTGGACTTTTGTGTGTTTTTTTAAGTTAAAAATGTTGGTTTGCTCGCTGCTGCGAAATGTTTGCAGCCATAGAAGATCGGCAATAAACCGGTGTAATTAAACATATGATGGAACTACGGGAGAAATGCACTGATCAGTGAGGAGTTAGCACCCTTAAATGAAGATGAAGTTTAATCACGGATAAGCTTCCATTTAGGCCTACTTCCTGCAGAGTGGACCCAGTGGAGAGACTGTTTCTGGGGTTAAAACAAAGGACCCAGCAATGGCCCTAAATGAACTTTAACTTTTAACTTTATCACCTCCATACGTCATGCATGCAGCTTGATGTAAAACGACCTTCCTCCCATGGTAAGAAATACTATTTTATGCCCGCCGTGGCTGCATGATGACAAACAGATTACATCATGAATACTTTCGCAGTGTGTAGTCTCTGTTTGGGTGTGGTTGTTTACTTTGACTTTGTTCTGTCATTAGAAATATGTACTATCAGGTTGACTCACTTCTGCCTGTATTGTGTCTAATGTTGTAATTAACTGCTGTTATAGCCTTTTGATTTGTTGATTCAAGGAAATAATTAAGTTTCTTACGTGTTGGTAACTTGCCTTGCCTTGCTTTCCAAAAATTGAAGGCATTAAGATAATTAAGAAACAGTGCAGTTGAAATACATTATAAAAATGGCATTTAAAGACCGTCATTAAAAAGCATAAATAATTTAAAAAAACATAGAAAATAAAAGAATATTAGTCTTTGGCCTTTAAACAATTTTTCTTTTCAATTCCCAGAATTAGGATATTTAAACCTGTTTTAAGATTTTCCCGCATTCATATTTTGCCTTTAAACCTCGTTAGATTTGGGTTGGCGTGCTGACCATAGGAAATGTTCTTCTAACAAATAATAAATAAAGGTATTAAATCCTGCCCATTGTGCACCTCAGTGTAAATCGACTGCGTCATCCACACATGGCCTCTGTTTCAGGCACGCAGTGGCTGCAAAATGACAAAACTGAATAATGATGCAATGTGTTGGCATGCAGCCAGAACGATGTTATCGTTTACTGACTCTTTGTTGTGAGCTGCTGTTAATTACCTGTTCATTTTAAAGAAGTATTTCAGTTTGAAACGTGTTGGTTTCACCTCAGTAGATTTGGGTTGGCGTGATGATCGTGAGGATTTAAAATAGACTATAAAGGCTTTCAATCAGAATTATTGTATTTGTCCCGCAACGGGGAAACAGTGGTACAAGTGGGGAGAATGGACTTGCATTAATACAAAAATAACTAAGTATAATCACGTTATTTATAGTAAAAGAACACAATAAGTAAAGAAAGAAACACAATATTGGTAAAAAAAAAAAAAGAACAAGCTGTATTTGTTTCCAAAAAAGTGAGAATTTGAATTAAAGCGGTAGCTGGTATGACAATTGCAAATAAACTGAGATGGACAAATAAATAGCAGGAGGGGATATTAATGTTGCACAACGTTTACATCCTGCTCATATGCACTCAGGTCATTGTGTGTTGCTGATAAATAAGAATGATAGCCTATATGAGTAACAAAGAAGGACAGGGCAGTTATAGAGCTGGTTTATTTGCGTTTATTTGAGTGTGTTGGTCAAAATGGGTTCTGACTCCCGGAATGAATGAAAGGGAGGTTCAATCTGAAACTGTGTGTTTATATTTCGATGTTTAACCTCCTATTGACCTCCATCAGACTTTTTCAATAAGCATTATGTTGTCCAGTTAGTTTGCAGATTTATTTTTGTATTTTTAATGTTGAGGAGAAGAATCCATTAACCTTATGTGTCGAAACCAGTCCAGCACACACAGGGAACAACACGAGCATATGGTCACATTTTACATTTATTTGATTGGCAAAGTATCTTAATTTGTCGCACAGCAGGATATGTACAGTTGCAGCAAAGGGAAAGTGAGGACAAAAAGACACAATTGTAATGAGTGGATTAATATATTAAAGAAGCAAACTCAAATTATTAAAATAAAAAAATATAAGTGCACATCCATGATTTAAAACAAAGTAGCAGCATTATAAAATAACTAAGTTAATAAATAATAATGTAAATATAATTGAAAATCATATTCCATCAGTACCTGAATGTGGACATTTTAATACACTTTAAAGGTGGTGGATTTAATACAAATATTGTTTTTTTTATACAACACGTTTTATTTTTGGGAATATGTCCAATTCACAAGAGGAAATGCATTCTACACCAAATGTTGACCAACCACATTTTTACTTAGAAGATGGCACTATTAAAAATATAACATATTAGAAGGATATCAAAATCAAATTTGATAAATATTTTACTTGAAATTATACCTTTTTTAGTTTTTTTTGTATCACTTTTTCTATACGTTTATGATTATTGTTTACTCTGCATGTGTAGCCTACGTGTTATCCTGATCAATTTTGACATTTCAGAGGTATCAGGGATAATATGCAGCTAGGTGGTCATTATTGAAAAAAATAAGCAACAGTGATATTATGCTTGGCAGCAGTATGTTATTGAATATTAATAACCTCTGAAATGTCCGAATTGACCAATCAGAAACGAGTATTCAACTGAGCTGCGCAATAATACTAAACACCTGCTGCTAAGTAAATAATGTGGGTCAAGGGAGAGAAGGTAGAAAAATAAAGTGTGTGTTTTGCAGACAACTAAATAACAAAGCACCACGGCGGGAGAAAGCATGTACAATGAAAACAATATTACATCACATTAAACACCGTTATCAAGCATGATCATTCACGACTACCAGAACAGGAGTGTCGGTGTAAGGTTGCATCTCAAATTCCGTTGGAGCCCTCAGCTCCTCCAGCAGCGGCTCCTCCAGAGACATTTGACCCGCAGATTCTCGGCATTTTCTGACCACAGAAAAAAGCTCCAGCAATCAAAAGCACAGCAGCTACGGAGACACAGATCAAAGCGGTCTTCTCTTTCTGCAACAGAGAGAGGGGGACACAAGCAATCAGACCGCTATATGGCACTCCGGAGCTCCTAAAGGGTCATGACATTTAAAAAAGAAAAATCGAGACAACGAGTGACTTTATTGACATAAATTGGAAAAAAATAATACTGTGAGAGTCACGGACTTGAATTGATAGATCAAGGCAGACTGTCCTTAAAATGAAGTCCGACTTCGAAATATATCTCGAATAATGTAGGCTTTGCACTGTCATTGCAATTTGCCCCACATAAACATAACAGTCTGCAATGAAACGGTTGTCTCCATGTGTGCTCCACTTGGCGCACCGGGAACTTTCTCGAAAAAAAAGTCGGGATTTAGCATAGGCCTATTTTTTTTCTTTTTCTTTCATGTCCCTTTAGGGGCTCCGAACACAACAGTAGCGTCATTTCTAAGATTAATCTACAAACTGCATTTTATAATCAATATTTGTAGTGTTGTACTCACGCATGGTGGCTGGGGGGTGCAGGTGATCGGTTCCGGGTTCCTCTCCTCTGGTGTATTCAGCGCAGGGCTGACCCTCATCCTCACAGCCTGCAGATGTCCCCTCTTGTTGTCCTTGAGGACGTAGAGAAAGTAATCTCCTCGGTCCTCGGGCTTCACCCCCTGCAGGGTCAGAGTCAGGTCTCCATCTGACCTCCAGTGAGGGGCTACAGATGTTCTGTTCTCAAACCCTGAGCCCTGTGAGATGCTCCCGGAGGAGAGGTCCAGCTCAAACACAAGCTGTGTGTTTCTCTCCACTCTGTACCTCCCGAGTTCTCCTGCAGTAAAGTAGTGGAAGGTAAAACCAGCAGCCTGTCCCTCAGGCACTGATTTCTCCGAGGATGTGATGACATTCAGATGGATAAGTTTCTCCTCTGAGCCGCAGGTTAGCCCGTACAGTCCCTGGTCGTTGATGTTGCTCCTGTTTAAGACCACGGACTCGTTTGGACTCATCCGGTCTTTGTAACCTGCTGCCGGCTTCCAGACATCCTCCAGACGAGCCACAGACTGACTGCTTCCACCTGTCAAAGTGTGCTGAAGTGTCGCTCCTGTCTCCCTGCACTGTTCAGTCTCTGGAAACTGAACTCGGTCTCCTAATATCGTATCGACAGCTAGGCCTCCTACGAGAGGAAGGTGGACAATAAGTAAGAACATGCATAAAGTATGAGCTGCCATCTCGTCTTCTTCGTCTGGATCCTGTGCTTATTACAAGTGCTCTCTCGTTAATACTATTCTTTCAGAGCGCTGAGAGGTGCAGTTACAGCAGGTGTCCACAGAGTGCAGCCCAAGTCAGACTGAATCTTCTCCAAATGCTCTCTCTTTAAATACTCTTTGATTTCGATTAAATTTATGGGAGGAGTCTGAATTCTCGATTTATTTTAACCGAGATTTCAGAGAGAGGGCTCGGGCTCGACTTGTTGATGGAAGCTCGCGGTTGTTGAGCCGTGTATTCACCACGCTGAATGTCGGGCCCGGTACCTCTCTCTCACAGCTCGGGGGAAAAGGCTGATCCTGAAAGATCAGATCCCTCTCTCGTGCGACAATCTCGCGGATGCAGCATTTTTCCAGCTGAGTACTCGCGCACCTCTCCTGCAAGAGTTAAATCGTTTATTATTATTTAAGCCCAATATAATAAATAAAACAATAATTTAGAAAGGTGAAATGTCCATACATGTATTGTACAAAAAGCATATTTAAAGTGCCATATGATTATTGTGAAGTCCTGATATTTGAGGAACTTTTCTCCCTCTGCCTCATGTGTTTTTGTCTCGAAAAGATCACCCATCATATTTCTCTTCCAGAAATCCTCCCGTTGAGCCACACGAAGACTGCTTTCCTTTTTCAAACTGTGCTGAAATCTCCTCTCTTCTTTCAGACTGTTTCTCTCTCGCTCTCCTGATCGGCTCTCGGAGGGATAGTTACTCCTCCTCGTTGGCTGCTTCCGTGTTCACGGGGCCGGCTGTCGGGCACGAGCTCTCTCACACAGCTGAAAAAAGAACGTGTACGCCTCTCTCTCTGTGTGTGTCTGATCAGCAAATGAGAACGTGAGCAGGAGAGCGTCTGAAAGAAGAGGAAAGCAGTCTCACAGCTGGGGAAAAAGGCCGAATCTGAAAGAGCAGACTCCTCCCAAACGAGATTCTGCCTCTCACTGCTCACTGAGAGAGAGAGCTCGTGGCCAATAGCCGGCCCCGTGAACACTGAAGCAGCCAACGAGGAGGAGGGAGTAACTATCCCTCCGAGAGCCGAGCAGGAGAGCGAGAGAGAAACAGTCTGAAAGAAGAGAGGAGACTTCAGCACAGTTTGAAAAAGGAAAACAGTCTTCGTGAGGCTCAACGGGAGGATTTCTGGAAGAGAAATATGATGGGTGATCTTTTCGAGACAAAAACACATGAGGCAGAGGGAGAAAAGTTCCTCAAGTATCAGGACTTCACGGTAATCATATATCGCACTTTAAATATGCTTTTTGCACAACACATGTATGGACATTTCACCTTTCTAAATTATTGTTTTATTTATTATATTGGGCTTAAATCATAATAAACTATATAACTCTCTCAGGAGAGGTGCGCGAGTACTCTCCCACACAGCTGGGAAAATGCTGCATCCGCGAGCTTGCCGCACGAGAGAGGGATCTGATCTTTCAGAATTAGCCTTTTCCCCCCGAGCTGTGAGAGAGAGGTACCGGGCCCGACATTCAGCGTGGTGAATACATGGCTCAACAACCGCGAGCTTCCATCGAGAAGTCGAGCCCGATCCCTCTCTCTGAAATCTCGGTTACAATAAACTTGGAATTCAGACTCCTCCCATAAATTTAACCGAAATCAAAGAGTATTTAAAGAGAGAGCATTTGGAGAAGATTCAGTCTGACTTGGGCTGCACTCTGTGGACACCTGCTGTAACTGCACCTCTCTCAGCGCTCTGAAAGAATAGTATTAACGAGAGAGCACTTGTAATAAGCACAGGATCCAGACGAAGAAGACGAGATGGCAGCTCATACTTTATGCATGTTCTTACTTATTGTCCACCTTCCTCTCGTAGGAGGCCTAGCTGTCGATACGATATTAGGAGACCCTGTTCAGTTTCCAGAGACTGAACAGTGCAGGGAGAGAGGAGCGACACTTCAGCACACTTTGACAGGTGGAAGCAGTCAGCCTGTGGCTCGTCTGGAGGATGTCTGGAAGCCGGCAGCAGGTTACAAAGACCGGATGAGTCCAAACGAGTCCGTGGTCTTAAACAGGAGCAACATCAACGACCAGGGACTGTACGGGCTAACCTGCGGCTCAGAGGAGAAACGTATCCATCTGAATGTCATCACACCCTCTGAGAAATCAGTGCCTGAGGGACAGGCTGCTGGTTTTACCTTCCACTACTTTACTGCAGGAGAACTCGGGAGGTACAGAGTGGAGAGAAACACACAGCTTGTGTTTGAGCTGGACCTCTCCTCCGGAAGCACCTCACAGGGCTCAGGGTTTGAGAACAGAACATCTGTAGCCCCTCACTGGAGGACAGATGGAGACCTGACTCTGACCCTGCAGGGGGTGAAGCCCGAGGACCGAGGAGATTACTTTCTCTACGTCCTCAAGGACAGAAAGAGGGGACATCTGCAGGCTGTGAGGATGAGGGTCAGCCCTGCACTGAATACACCAGAGGAGAGGAACCTGGAACAGATCACCTGCACCCCCCAGCCACCACGCGTGAGTACAACACTACAAATATTGATTATAAAATGCAGCTTATGGAAACATCTTAGATATTATCGGACTTTAGGGTTTTGTTTAAGGTGTCATCTTTTAGTTTCACATCATACTAAGTTCCTCTTGTTCTGTTTCCCCTGGAGCAGAAGGAGACCCCGTGGATCCCCATCGCCATCTGCTCTGGTTCTGGTTGCACTTGGTGTTGTGTGTAGGCAGAGGATCTGCAGATCAAATGTCTCATCCGGTGGAGGAAGATCTCTGACAGAAGAGGAGAGTCAACCCATCACAGACCCTCGTGTTCCAGAAGAGAATGGACACGCTTCATTAGCTTAATATTTATTTATAATGTATTTTATTTTCACTGCACTTTCCCTTCGATGTCACACTTTTCCCCTCTCTCTGGGAAAATAAGGGATTTCTGAATCTGATCTTTTGCTTTGCCAATAAAATAATAAAATGTATTTGTGTTGTGTTTGTGTGCTGGACTGGAGGTGAATATATTTTCTCCAAAACATTTTAAAATAACCCAAATATTTTAAATTGAAAACCTGCATCTTGAAATAAATGCACATAAAATATTTCAAAAAGAATGATAATATAAATGGACGGTTGGAAACGAAATAAAAACCCAGCTCATCAGACGGTAACATCTCTTTGATAAACTGCGGGATGCTGTTTTTACACAGGGTTGAGGGCTACAGTGAGCACTTGTTGACTGATGGAAGCAGTGTGTGTGGCTCAAAGGGCCTTCCATAAATGTTAGGACTGCGCACACAGTCTTGCAGTGTGAGGGTCGGTGTTAGAGTCGGTGCAGGTGACTCAGAGTTTAGGCAGTAATTGTTCAGCTGAGTTTGAAAAACTGACGAAACAAACTGCGAGCTCTCAAACGAGAGGGAGAGACATCACAGCGCGAGCTGCTGCTGTGGGGAGGGTGACGTTGTTCGAGTCGGCGCGCGCCTGACCTTACTCACAGGATTGTTTGAGCTGTGAGAGAGACGGAAGAATCCTCGAGATCCCATACGAGAGAGGGGGATGAGGCACTCATGTTCTCATTTGCTGATCAGACACACACAGAGAGAGAGGCGTACACATTCTTTTTTCAGCTGTGAGAGAGGGCTCGTGCCCGACAGCCGGCACCGTGAACACGGAAGCAGCCAATGAGGAGGAGGGAGTAACTATCCCTCCGAGAGCCGAGCAGGAGAGCGAGAGAGAAACAGCCTGAAAGAAGAGAGGAGACTTCAGCACAGTTTGAAAAAGGAAAGCAGTCTTCGTGTGGCTCAACGGGAGGATTTCTGGAAGAGAAATAGGATGGGTGATCTTTTCGAGACAAAAACACATGAGGCAGAGCCGCAGAGGGAGAAAAGTTCCTCAAATATCAGGACTTCACAGTAATCATATGGCAATCTAAATGTGCTTTATGTACAACACATGTGGACATTTCACCTTTCTAAATTATTGTTTTATTTATTCTATTGGTTTTAGATAATAATAAACTAATAATCTCTCAGGAGCTCGTGTCTGAGTCTGTCTGTGGCTGCTTCCGCCTCTCTCTCTTTCGGCAGCTAGAAGAATCGCCCGTCTCTCTCACAGCTCAAACAATCCTGTGCGTAAAGTCAGGCACGAGCCAACTCGAACGACCCTCCCCACAGCAGCGGCTCGCGCTGTGAACCCTCTCCCTGTCGAATCTCTCGCGCCAACTCAATCCCTCTCATATGGAGCTCGTCGCTGCTTTCGCCGTTGGCTTCTCCAGTCTCACTCTCAGATCAAGATCCCTCCGCGTACAATCTAACACACCAAAAATAAAGTTGAACTCGGTCAGTTTGTCGTGTTTGAGCTCTTAACATTCACGGACTCGAGTGATTCTGTCTCATAACCAGAAATCCTCCCGTTGAGCCTCACGAAGACCTTTTTCAAAATGTGCTGAAGTCTCCTCTCTTCAGGCTGTTTCCGTGTTTGCCTCTAACGTAAAATCACACGCTCTCCTGCTCGGCTCTCGCTGCGTTAACTCACTCCTCACTGGCTGCTTCCAACTTCGGGGAGCCGGCTGTCGGGCACGAGCTCTCTCTCTCACAGCCTCCCTCTCTCTGTGTGTCTGACCAGCCAATGAGAACATGTTGAGCTGTGTCTTCACGGTGCCGGCTATAGCGAGGCTCCCTCTTTCTCACAGCTGGGAAAAAAGGCCGAATCTGAAAGAGCAGACTCCTCCCAAACGAGATTCTGCCTCTCACTGCTCACTGAGAGAGAGAGCTCGTGGCCAACAGCCGGCCCCGTGAACACGGAAGCAGCCAATGAGGAGGAGGGAGTAACTATCCCTCCGAGAGCCGAGCAGGGAGAGCGAGAGAGAAACAGCCTGAAAGAAGAGAGGAGACTTCAGCACAGTTTGAAAAAGGAAAGCAGTCTTCGTGTGGCTCAACGGGAGGATTTCTGGAAGAGAAATATGATGGGTGATCTTTTCGAGACAAAAACACATGAGGCAGAGGGAGAAAAGTTCCTCAAATATCAGGACTTCACAGTAATCATATGGCAATCTAAATGTGCTTTATGTACAACACATGTATGGACATTTCACCTTTCTAAATTATTGTTTTATTTATTATATTGGTTTTAGATAATAATAAACTAATAATCTCTCAGGAGCTCGTGTCTGAGTCTGTCTGTGGCTGCTTCCGCCTCTCTCTTTCGGCAGCTCGAAGAATCGCCCGTCTCTCTCACAGCTCAAACAATCCTGTGCGTAAAATCAGGCACGAGCCAACTCGAACGACCCCTCTCTCTGTCGAAGCTCTCGCGCCCACTCAATCCCTCTCATATGGAGCTCGTCGCTGCTTTCGCCGTTGGCTTCTCCAGTCTTATTCTCAGATCAAGATCCCTCCGCGTACAATCTGACACACCAAAAATAAAGTGGAACTCGGTCAGTTTGTCGTGTTTGAGCTGTTAAAGTTCAAGGACTCGAGTGATTAAGTCTCATAACCAGAAATCCTCCCGTTGAGCCTCACGAAGACCTTTTTCAAAATGTGCTGAAGTCTCCTCTCTTCTTTCAGGCTGTTTCCGTGTTTGCCTCTCGCGAAAAATCACACGCTCTCCTGCTCGGCTCTCGCTGCGTTAACTCACTCCTCACTGGCTGCTTCCAACTTCGCAGAGCCGGCTGTCGGGCACGAGCTCTCTCTCTCACAGCCTCCCTCTCTATGTGTGTCTGACCAGCCAATGAGAACATGTTGATGTGTGTCTTCACGGTGCCGGCTTTAGCGAGGCTCCCTCTTTCTCACAGCTGGGGAAAAAAGGCTGAATCTGAAAGAGCAGACTCCTCCCAAGCGAGATTCTGCCTCTCACTGCTCACTGAGAGAGAGAGCTCGTGGCCAACAGCCGGCCCCGTGAACACGGAAGCAGCCAATGAAGAGGAGGGAGTAACTATCCCTCCGAGAGCCGAGCAGGCTCTGTGTTGTGTCAAAACACTGGGTTCGATCCGGGTTTTTTTAGACACCGGCTCTAACTCCGCAGCAGACTCTCTACCTCGTAAAAAACTCTGGATCTAACCCTGTGCGTTGTCAAAACACAGGCTCTAAGCCGGTGCTTTGAGAGGGTCATAATCATATGGCAATCTAAATGTGCTTTATGTACAACACATGTGGACATTTCACCTTTCTAAATGATTGTTTTATTTATTATATAGGTTTTAGATAATAATAAACTAATACTCTCTCAGGAGCTCGTGTCTGAGTCTGTCTGTGGCTGCTTCCGCCTCTCTCTCTTTCGGCAGCTCGAGGATTCTTCCGTCTCTCTCACAGCTCAAACAATCCTGTGCGTAAAGTCAGGCACGAGCCAACTCGAACGACCCTCCCCACAGCAGCGGCTCGCGCTGTGAACCCTCTCCCTGTCGAAGCTCTCGCGTCAACTCAATCCCTCTCATATGGAGCTCGTCGCTGCTTTCGCCGTTGGCTTCTCCAGTCTCACTCTCAGATCAAGATCCCTCCGCGTACAATCTGACACACCAAAAATAAAGTTGAACTCGGTCAGTTTGTCGTGTTTGAGCTCTTAACATTCACGGACTCGAGTGATTCTGTCTCATAACCAGAAATCCTCCCGTTGAGCCTCACGAAGACCTTTTTCAAAATGTGCTGAAGTCTCCTCTCTTCAGGCTGTTTCCGTGTTTGCCTCTAACGTAAAATCACACGCTCTCCTGCTCGGCTCTCGCTGCGTTAACTCACTCCTCACTGGCTGCTTCCAACTTCGGGGAGCCGGCTGTCGGGCACGAGCTCTCTCTCTCACAGCCTCCCTCTCTCTGTGTGTCTGACCAGCCAATGAGAACATGTTGAGCTGTGTCTTCACGGTGCCGGCTATAGCGAGGCTCCCTCTTTCTCACAGCTGGGAAAAAAGGCCGAATCTGAAAGAGCAGACTCCTCCCAAACGAGATTCTGCCTCTCACTGCTCACTGAGAGAGAGAGCTCATGGCCAACAGCCGGCCCCGTGAACACGGAAGCAGCCAATGAGGAGGAGGGAGTAACTATCCCTCCGAGAGCCGAGCAGGAGAGCGAGAGAGAAACAGCCTGAAAGAAGAGAGGAGGCTTCAGCACAGTTTGAAAAAGGAAAGCAGTCTTTCGTGTGGCTCAACGGGAGGATTTCTGGAAGAGAAATATGATGGGTGATCTTTTCGAGACAAAAACACATGAGGCAGAGGGAGAAAAGTTCCTCAAGTATCAGGACTTCACGGTAATCATATATCGCACTTTAAATATGCTTTTTGCACAACACATGTATGGACATGTCACCTTTCTAAATTATTGTTTTATTTATTATATTGGGCTTAAATCATAATAAACGATATAACTCTCTCAGGAGAGGTGCGCGAGTACTCTCCCACACAGCTGGGAAAATGCTGCATCCGCAAGCTTGCCGCACGAGAGAGGGATCTGATCTTTCAGAATTAGCCTTTTCCCCCGAGCTGTGAGAGAGAGGTACCGGGCCCGACATTCAGCGTGTTGAATACACGGCTCAACAACCGCGAGCTTCCATCGAGAAGTCGAGCCCGAGCCCTCTCTCTGAAATCTCGGTTACAATAAACTTGGAATTCAGACTCCTCCCATAAATTTAACCGAAATCAAAGAGTATTTAAAGAGAGAGCATTTGGAGAAGATTCAGTCTGACTTGGGCTGCACTCTGTGGACACCTGCTGTAACTGCACCTCTCTCAGCGCTCTGAAAGAATAGTATTAACGAGAGAGCACTTGTAATAAGCACAGGATCCAGACGAAGAAGACGAGATGGCAGCTCATACTTTATGCATGTTCTTACTTATTGTCCACCTTCCTCTCGTAGGAGGCCTAGCTGTCGATACGATATTAGGAGACCGAGTTCAGTTTCCAGAGACTGAACAGTGCAGCGAGAGCAGGAGCGACACTTCAAGCACACTTTGACAGGTGGAAGCAGTCAGCCTGTGGCTCGTCTGGAGGATGTCTGGAAGCCGGCAGCAGGTTACAAAGACCGGATGAGTCCAAACGAGTCCGTGGTCTTAAACAGGAGCAACATCAACGACCAGGGACTGTACGGGCTTAACCTGCGGCTCAGAGGAGAAACGTATCCATCTGAATGTCATCACATCCTCTGAGAAATCAGTGCCTGAGGGACAGGCTGCTGGTTTTACCTTCCACTACTTTACTGCAGGAGAACTCGGGAGGTACAGAGTGGAGAGAAACACACAGCTTGTGTTTGAGCTGGACCTCTCCTCCGGAAGCACCTCACAGGGCTCAGGGTTTGAGAACAGAACATCTGTAGCCCCTCACTGGAGGACAGATGGAGACCTGACTCTGACCCTGCAGGGGGTGAAGCCCGAGGACCGAGGAGATTACTTTCTCTACGTCCTCAAGGACAGAAAGAGGGGACATCTGCAGGCTGTGAGGATGAGGGTCAGCCCTGCGCTGAATACACCAGAGGAGAGGAACCCGGAACAGATCACCTGCACCCCCCAGCCACCACGCGTGAGTACAACACTACAAATATTGATTATAAAATGCAGCTTATGGAAACCTCTTAGATATTATCGGACTTTAGGGTTTTGTTTAAGGTGTCATCATTTAGTTTCACATCATACTAAGTTCCTCTTGTTCTGTTTCCCCTGGAGCAGAAGAAGACCCTGTGGATCCCCATCGCCATCATCGCTGCTCTGGTTCTGGTTGCACTTGGTGTTGTGTGTAGGCAGAGGATCTGCAGATCAAATGTCTCATCCGGTGGAGGAAGATCTCCGACAGAAGAGGAGAGTCAACCCATCACAGACCCTCGTGTTCCAGAAGAGAATGGACACGCTTCATTAGCTTAATATTTATTTATAATGTCTTTTATTTTCACTGCACTTTCCCTTCGATGTCACACTTTTCCCCTCTCTCTGGGAAAATAAGGGATTTCTGAATCTGATCTTTTGCTTTGCCAATAAAATAATAAAATGTATTTGTGTTGTGTTTGTGTGCTGGACTGGAGGTGAATATATTTTCTCCAAAACATTTTAAAATAACCCAAATATTTTAAATTGAAAACCTGCATCTTGAAATAAATGCACATAAAATATTTCAAAAAGAATGATAATATAAATGGACGGTTGGAAACGAAATAAAAACCCAGTTCATCAGACGGTAACATCTCTTTGATAAACTGCGGGATGCTGTTTTTACACAGGGTTGAGGGCTACAGTGAGCACTTGTTGACTGATGGAAGCAGTGTGTGTGGCTCAAAGGGCCTTCCATAAATGTTAGGACTGCACACACAGTCTTGCAGTGTGAGGGTCGGTGTTAGAGTCGGTGCAGGTAACTCAGAGTTTAGGCAGTAATTGTTCAGCTGAGTTTGAAAAACTGACGAAACAAACTGCGAGCTCTCAAACGAGAGGGAGAGATATCACAGCGCGAGCTGCTGCTGTGGGGAGGGTGACGTTGTTCGAGTCGGCGCGCGCCTGACTTTACTCACAGGATTGTTTGAGCTGTGAGAGAGACGGAAGAATCCTCGAGATCCCATATGAGAGAGGGGGATGAGGCACTCATGTTCTCATTTGCTGATCAGACACACACAGAGAGAGGCGTACACATTCTTTTTTCAGCTGTGAGAGAGGGCTCGTGCCCGACAGCCGGCACCGTGAACACGGAAGCAGCCAATGAGGAGGAGGGAGTAACTATCCCTCCGAGAGCCGAGCAGGAGAGCGAGAGAGAAACAGCCTGAAAGAAGAGAGGAGACTTCAGCACAGTTTGAAAAAGGAAAGCAGTCTTCGTGTGGCTCAACGGGAGGATTTCTGGAAGAGAAATATGATGGGTGATCTTTTCGAGACAAAAACACATGAGGCAGAGGGAGAAAAGTTCCTCAAATATCAGGACTTCACAGTAATCATATGGCAATCTAAATGTGCTTTATGTACAACACATGTATGGACATTTCACCTTTCTAAATTATTGTTTTATTTATTATATTGGTTTTAGATAATAATAAACTAATAATCTCTCAGGAGCTCGTGTCTGAGTCTGTCTGTGGCTGCTTCCGCCTCTCTCTTTCGGCAGCTCGAAGAATCGCCCGTCTCTCTCACAGCTCAAACAATCCTGTGCGTAAAATCAGGCACGAGCCAACTCGAACGACCCCTCTCTCTGTCGAAGCTCTCGCGCCAACTCAATCCCTCTCATATGGAGCTCGTCGCTGCTTTCGCCGTTGGCTTCTCCAGTCTCACTCTCAGATCAAGATCCCTCCGCGTACAATCTGACACACCAAAAATAAAGTGGAACTCGGTCAGTTTGTCGTGTTTGAGCTGTTAAAGTTCAAGGACTCGAGTGATTCTGTCTCATAACCAGAAATCCTCCCGTTGAGCCTCACGAAGACCTTTTTCAAAATGTGCTGAAGTCTCCTCTCTTCTTTCAGGCTGTTTCCGTGTTTGCCTCTCGCGAAAAATCACACGCTCTCCTGCTCGGCTCTCGCTGCGTTAACTCACTCCTCACTGGCTGCTTCCAACTTCGCAGAGCCGGCTGTCGGGCACGAGCTCTCTCTCTCACAGCCTCCCTCTCTATGTGTGTCTGACCAGCCAATGAGAACATGTTGATGTGTGTCTTCACGGTGCCGGCTTTAGCGAGGCTCCCTCTTTCTCACAGCTGGGGAAAAAAGGCTGAATCTGAAAGAGCAGACTCCTCCCAAGCGAGATTCTGCCTCTCACTGCTCACTGAGAGAGAGAGCTCGTGGCCAACAGCCGGCCCCGTGAACACGGAAGCAGCCAATGAAGAGGAGGGAGTAACTATCCCTCCGAGAGCCGAGCAGGCTCTGTGTTGTGTCAAAACACTGGGTTCGATCCGGGTTTTTTTAGACACCGGCTCTAACTCCGCAGCAGACTCTCTACCTCGTAAAAAACTCTGGATCTAACCCTGTGCTTTGTCAAAACACAGGCTCTAAGCCGGTGCTTTGAGAGGGTCATAATCATATGGCAATCTAAATGTGCTTTATGTACAACACATGTGGACATTTCACCTTTCTAAATGATTGTTTTATTTATTATATTGGTTTTAGATAATAATATAACTAATACTCTCTCAGGAGCTCGTGTCTGAGTCTGTCTGTGGCTGCTTCCGCCTCTCTCTCTTTCGGCAGCTCGAGGATTCTTCCGTCTCTCTCACAGCTCAAACAATCCTGTGCGTAAAGTCAGGCACGAGCCAACTCGAACGACCCTCCCCACAGCAGCGGCTCGCGCTGTGAACCCTCTCCCTGTCGAAGCTCTCGCGTCAACTCAATCCCTCTCATATGGAGCTCGTCGCTGCTTTCGCCGTTGGCTTCTCCAGTCTCACTCTCAGATCAAGATCCCTCCGCGTACAATCTGACACACCAAAAATAAAGTTGAACTCGGTCAGTTTGTCGTGTTTGAGCTCTTAACATTCACGGACTCGAGTGATTCTGTCTCATAACCAGAAATCCTCCCGTTGAGCCTCACGAAGACCTTTTTCAAAATGTGCTGAAGTCTCCTCTCTTCAGGCTGTTTCCGTGTTTGCCTCTAACGTAAAATCACACGCTCTCCTGCTCGGCTCTCGCTGCGTTAACTCACTCCTCACTGGCTGCTTCCAACTTCGGGGAGCCGGCTGTCGGGCACGAGCTCTCTCTCTCACAGCCTCCCTCTCTCTGTGTGTCTGACCAGCCAATGAGAACATGTTGATCTGTGTCTTCACGGTGCCGGCTGTAGCGAGGCTCCCTCTTTCTCACAGCTGGGAAAAAAGGCCGAATCTGAAAGAGCAGACTCCTCCCAAACGAGATTCTGCCTCTCACTGCTCACTGAGAGAGAGAGCTCGTGGCCAATAGCCGGCCCCGTGAACACTGAAGCAGCCAACGAGGAGGAGGGAGTAACTATCCCTCCGAGAGCCGAGCAGGAGAGCGAGAGAGAAACAGTCTGAAAGAAGAGAGGAGACTTCAGCACAGTTTGAAAAAGGAAAGCAGTCTTCGTGTGGCTCAACGGGAGGATTTCTGGAAGAGAAATATGATGGGTGATCTTTTCGAGACAAAAACACATGAGGCAGAGGGAGAAAAGTTCCTCAAGTATCAGGACTTCACGGTAATCATATATCGCACTTTAAATATGCTTTTTGCACAACACATGTATGGACATTTCACCTTTCTAAATTATTGTTTTATTTAATATATTGGGCTTAAATCATAATAAACTATATAACTCTCTCAGGAGAGGTGCGCGAGTACTCTCCCACACAGCTGGGAAAATGCTGCATCCGCGAGCTTGCCGCACGAGAGAGGGATCTGATCTTTCAGAATTAGCCTTTTCCCCCCGAGCTGTGAGAGAGAGGTACCGGGCCCGACATTAAGCGTGGTGAATACACGGCTCAACAACCGCGAGCTTCCATCGAGAAGTCGAGCCCGAGCCCTCTCTCTGAAATCTCGGTTACAATAAACTTGGAATTCAGACTCCTCCCATAAATGTAACCGAAATCCGAAAGAGTAGGCTATTTAAAGAGAGAGCATTTGGAGAAGATTCAGTCTGACTTGGGCTGCACTCTGTGGACACCTGCTGTAACTGCACCTCTCTCAGCGCTCTGAAAGAATAGTATTAACGAGAGAGCACTTGTAATAAGCACAGGATCCAGACGAAGAAGACGAGATGGCAGCTCATACTTTGCGCATGTTCTTACTTATTGTCCACCTTCCTCTCGTAGGAGGCCTAGCTGTCGATACGATATTAGGAGACCGAGTTCAGTTTCCAGAGACTGAACAGTGCAGCGAGAGAGGAGCGACACTTCAGCACACTTTGACAGGTGGAAGCAGTCAGCCTGTGGCTCGTCTGGAGGATGTCTGGAAGCCGGCAGCAGGTTACAAAGACCGGATGAGTCCAAACGAGTCCGTGGTCTTAAACAGGAGCGACATCAACGACCAGGGACTGTACGGGCTAACCTGCGGCTCAGAGGAGAAACGTATCCATCTGAATGTCATCACATCCTCGGAGAAATCAGTGCCTGAGGGACAGGCTGCTGGTTTTACCTTCCACTACTTTACTGCAGGAGAACTCGGGAGGTACAGAGTGGAGAGAAACACACAGCTTGTGTTTGATCTGGACCTCTCCTCCGGAAGCACCTCACAGGGCTCAGGGTTTGAGAACAGAACATCTGTAGCCCCTCACTGGAGGTCAGATGGAGACCTGACTCTGACCCTGCAGGGGGTGAAGCCCGAGGACCGAGGAGATTACTTTCTCTACGTCCTCAAGGACAGAAAGAGGGGACATCTGCAGGCTGTGAGGATGAGGGTCAGCCCTGCACTGAATACACCAGAGGAGAGGAACCCGGAACAGATCACCTGCACCCCCCAGCCACCACGCGTGAGTATAACACTACAAATATTGATTATAAAATGCAGCTTATGGAAACCTCTTAGATATTATCGGACTTTAGGGTTTTGTTTAAGGTGTCATCTTTTAGTTTCACATCATACTAAGTTCCTCTTGTTCTGTTTCCCCTGGAGCAGAAGAAGACCCTGTGGATCACCATCGCCATCATCGCTGCTCTGGTTCTGGTTGCACTTGGTGTTGTGTGTAGGCAGAGGATCTGCAGATCAAATGTCTCATCCGGTGGAGGAAGATCTCTGACAGAAGAGGAGAGTCAACCCATCACAGACCCTCGTGTTCCAGAAGAGAATGGACACGCTTCATTAGCTTAATATTTATTTATAATGTCTTTTATTTTCACTGCACTTTCCCTTCGATGTCACACTTTTCCCCTCTCTCTGGGAAAATAAGGGATTCTGAATCTGATCTTTTGCTTTGCCAATAAAATAATAAAATGTATTTGTGTTGTGTTTGTGTGCTGGACTGGAGGTGAATATATTTTCTCCAAAACATTTTTAAAATAACCCAAATATTTAAAATTGAAAACCTGCATCTTGAAATAAATGCACATAAAATATTTCAAAAAGTATGATAATATAAATGGACGGTTGGAAACGAAATAAAAACCCAGCTCATCAGACGGTAACATCTCTTTGATAAACTGCGGGATGCTGTTTTTACGCAGGGTTGAGGGCTACAGTGAGCACTTGTTGACTGATGGAAGCAGTGTGTGTGGCTCAAAGGGCCTTCCATAAATGTTAGGACTGCGCACACAGTCTTGCAGTGTGAGGGTCGGTGTTAGAGTCGGTGCAGGTGACTCACATTTTACGCAGTCATTTTTCAGCTGAGTTTGAAAAACTGACGAAACAAACTGCGAGCTCTCAAACGAGAGGGAGAGACATCACAGCGCGAGCTGCTGCTGTGGGGAGGGTGACGTTCGTTCGAGTCGGCGCGCGCCTGACCTTTACTCACAGGATTGTTTGAGCTGTGAGAGAGACGGAAGAATCCTCGAGATCCCATTACGAGAGAGGGGGATGAGGCACTCATGTTCTCATTTGCTGATCAGACACACACAGAGAGAGAGGCGTACACATTCTTTTTTCAGCTGTGAGAGAGGGCTCGTGGCCCGACAGCCGGCACCGTGAACACGGAAGCAGCCAATTGAGGAGGAGGGAGTAACTATCCCTCCGAGAGCCGAGCAGGAGAGCGTGTGATTTTACGCGAGAGAGAAACAGTCTGAAAGAAGAGAGGAGACTTCAGCACAGTTTGAAAAGGAAAAGCAGTCTCGTGTGGCTCAACGGGAGGATTCTGGAAGAGAAATAGGATGGGTGATCTTTTCGAGACAAAACACATGAGGCAGAGGGAGAAAAGTTCCTCAATATCAGGACTTCACAGTAATCATATGGCAATCTAAATGTGCTTTATGTACAACACATGTGGACATTTCACCTTTCTAAATTATTGTTTTATTATTCTATTGGTTTTAGATAATAATAAACTAATAATCTCTCAGGAGCTCGTGTCTGAGTCTGTCTGTGGCTGCTTCCGCCTCTCTCTCTTTCGGCAGCCTAGAAGAATCGCCCCGTCTCTCTCACAGCTCAAAACAATCCTGTGCGTAAAGTCAGGCACGAGCCAACTCGAACGACCCCTCCCCCACAGCAGCGGCTCGCGCTGTGAACCCTCTCCCTGTCGAATCTCTCGCGCCAACTCAATCCCTCTCATATGGAGCTCGTCGCTGCTTTCGCCGTTGGCTTCTCCAGTCTCACTCTCAGATCAAGATCCCCTCCGCGTACAATCTGACACACCAAAATAAAGTTGAACTCGGTCAGTTTGTCGTGTTTGAGCTCTTAACATTCACGGGACTCGAGTGATTTCTGTCTCATAACCAGAAATCCTCCCGTTGAGCCTCACGAAGACCTTTTTTCAAAATGTGCTGACGTCTCCTCTCTTCAGGCTGTTTCTCCGTGTTTGCCTCTAAGTAAAATCACACTCTCTCCTGCTCGGCTCTCGCTGCGTTAACTCACTCCTCACTGGCTGCTTCCAACTTCGCAGAGCCGGCTGTCGGGCACGAGCTCTCTCTCTCTCACAGCCTCCCTCTCTGTGTGTCTGATCAGCCAATGAGAACATGTTGATCTGTGTCTTCACGGTGCCGGCTGTAACGAGGCTCCCTCTTTCTCACAGCTGGGGGAAAAAGGCCGAATCTGAAAGAGCAGACTCCTCCCAAACGAGATTCTGCCTCTCACTGCTCACTGAGAGAGAGAGAGCTCTCGCAGTCTGCTTGATCGGCTGCCTGATAAGAGGGATTGAGTGGGCGCGAGAGCTTCGACAGGGAGAGGGATCACAGCTGTTTGTTCTTGGAGTGTGAGTAAAGCCGGATGTGGCCTTATATGGCTGGGAATGCTCCTGTAATTTTCCATTTCCACCGCTGCTGGACTGCCACACAGTCTTGCAGTGTGAGGGTCGGTGTTAGAGTCGGTGCAGGTGACTCACATTTTACGCAGTAATTGTTCAGCTGAGTTTGAAAAACTGACGAAACAAACTGCGAGCTCTCAAACGAGAGGGAGAGACATCACAGCGCGAGCCGCTGCTGTGGGGAGGGTGACGTCGTTCGAGTCGGCGCGCGCCGGACTTTATGCACAGGATTGTTTGAGCTGTGAGAGAGACGGAAGAATCCTCGAGCTCCGGAACGAGAGAGAGGCGAAAGCAGCCAAAGACAGACTCAGACACGAGCTCCTGAGAGAGTGTATTAGTTTATTATTATTTAAACCCAATATAATAAATAAAACTATAATTTAGAAAGGTGAAATGTCCATACCTTTAGTGTGCATAAAGCATAATTTTAAACTGCCATTATGATTATTGTGAAGTCCTGATACTTGAGGAACTTTTCTCCCTCTGCCTCATGTGTTTTTGTCTCGAAAAGATCACCCATCATATTTCTCTTCCAGTTTTCCTTTTTCAAACTGTGCTGAAGTCTCCTCTCTTCTATCAGGCTGTTTCTCTCTCGCGTAAAATCCTTGATTTAAGTATAGGCTACCTCTGACATTTCCAAATTGACCAGGGTAACACAGGTACACATGCAGAGTAAACAATAAGGCTAATATACGTATATAGAAAAAATGATACAAAAAAACTAAAAGGTATAATTTTAATTAAAATATTTATCAAATTTGGTTTTGATATCCTTCTAATTTGTTATATTTTTAATAGTGTCATATTCTAAGTAAACATGTGGTTGGTCAACATTTGGTCTAGAATGCATTTCTTCTTGTGAATGGGACATATTCCCAAAAATGAAAAGTGTTAAAATGTGTATTAAATCCACCACCTTTAAAGTTTATTGAAATGTCCACATTCAGGTATTGATGGAATATGGTTTTCAATTATATTTACATTATTATTTATGAACTTAGATATTTTATAATGCTGCTACTTTGTTTTAAATCATGGATGTGCACTTTTTTTATTTGAATAACGTGTGCTTGCTTCTTTAATATGTTAATCCACTCATTACACTTGTGTCTTTTTATCCTCACTTTCCCTTTGCAGCATCTGTACATATCCTGCTGTGCGACAAATGAAGGATTTTTGATTCTTTGCCAATCAAATAAATGTAAAATGTGACCAGATGCTCGTGTTTTTCCCTGTGTGGAAATTGGATCACCGCGAGGGCCGGTGGAGGTTCGCGAGCTCCGGAACGAGAGAAAGGAGAGTTCATAGTTTATTATTATTTAAGCCCAATATAATAAATAAAACAATCATTTAGAAAGGTGAAATGTTCATACATGTGTTGTGCAAAAAGCCTATTTAAACTGCCATATGATTATTGTGATATTTGAGGAACTCTTCTCCCTCTACACTGTAAAAATATTCACCGTGAATTCACAATAAATACTTGGCCAAATTTTGCATGACTTTCACAGTAAGATTCACAGCAATTTACTGTGAATGTCTTCACAGCAATGTATTGTAATTTCACACCCATGATATTACAATACATTGCTGTGAATGTCTTCACAGCAATGCATTGTAATTTCACACCCATGATATTACAATACATTGCTGTGAATGTCTTCACAGCAATGTATTGTAATTTCACATCCATGATATTACAATGCATTATTGTAAAGGTAAAACTGTATACTGTAACTTCACAGCTTCAATGACTAAGGAATTACTGTGATATTACAGTATGTTACTGGGGAATTACATCATTTTGTTATACATGCATTACAACAAGGGCCTGTACTTTTACATTTCTATTGTGAAAGCAATGCAGGAGTTGCCAGTAATTTACTGTGAATGTACAATGTGTACTGTGAAAGCAATGCAGGAGTTGCCAGTAATTTACTGTGAATGTACAATGTGTACTGTGAAAGTAATGCAGATGAGTAGCCAGCAATTTACTATCAATTTACAATGATAGACGTGCATAACTGTAGTCCCCAGCTCCGGTCCTTCCTGGAGGAAGCTCATACAATGGTTTCCTGTCAAATACTATTGGATGACATGACTAATCACGTCATCCACATACAGCAAGCAAAAATGCACAAAAAGCATCTCACCCGTGAGTCCAGTTGGGTCAAATCAAATAGGCTACACTGTAAAAAAGAAAACTGCCAAACAAAAACCCTTAAATTAAAGTAAAATACTTTCACTGAAATAAGTGCTAAAGCAATTAATAAACAGGAATGTCCTTAAAGATTTTACAGGAAACATTGTAGTGTTACAGATGTTTCCTCTCTTTTCAAAATCCATTGTCTTAAAATGTTACATTCAAATACCTTAAATAAAGTTCTGATGAGAAAAACTGTTTTTTACATTTTTTTTATTAGATTTTTATGATCAAACACAAAAGCAAATGCAGAACCTAAAGTTCTACAGGTAGAATACTGTTATTTTACAGCTTTTTTCTAACATTTTCCAATCAAAGACGTTCAATAAAAAGACAGCACAAAATGTTCTGTAGGGAACAATTACTATAAAATGTTAAAACTTAAAATATAAAAATATTTGTAGAATTATACAACCATTAATGAATACAGCATTTAATATTTAAACATCTACTTATAAACAGTATAAACAAAAAGTAAGTTTAATTTTTTAAGATTACTTTGAAACATTCTCAACTGAAAATAACAGAAATTACAAAATGGCGACATATGTTCACATTGTCCATTTGAAGGAGCAGTGTGCAGGATTTAGTACGTCTAACAATGGTAGGTTCCAACCAATGGATAACTTGTTCACTCACCCTCCTATCCCAAGTTTGTAGGAGAATGTATATTGGCTGCAAAAAACTTGAGGCCCAATCATGTTTCCTCTGTCCATTCTGCGCTACTGTAGATGTGGCAGTGCAACCTAGAGGACAAAAAGACAACAATTAGTAAACCATAATGATGAATGTTATTATCAGCAGCTGCCAATAGATCCCCCATCTTGTATGATGGACCTTTGAAGCATACCTCGTGTTTTTGTCTTGAAAATAAATTTTCAAATGTTTGTTTTCCCACAGAGGGGAACAGCAGATAACAATGTATCAAAGACAGATGTTCTGATGAGCTGTGTTTTTATTTCGTTTCCAACCCTCCTATTATCCTCCAGACTTTTTTTAATCTGCATATTTATATTGTGTGAAGTAATTTCAAGTTGCAGGTTTTCAATGATGGGTTATTTTTTAAATGTTTGGGAGAGAATCAGTTCACCTTAAGTCCACCTCCAGCACACAAACACGCAAAACATGACATGTTATTATTTTATTGACAAAGATCGAGACAGGGGAAAGTGTTGCATCTAAGGGAAAGTGCAGTGGAAATAGTACATATTAAGCTGATGAAGCATGTCCATTCTCTTCTGGAACACGAGGGTCTGTGATAGGTTGACTCATCAGACATTTGATCTGCAGATCCTCTGCCTACACACAACACCAAGTGCAACCAGAACCAGAGCAGCGATGATGGCGAGGGTGAACCACGGGGTCTCCTTCTGCTCCAGTGAGGGGAAACAGAACAAGAGGAACTTAGTATGATCTGACTCGTTTGGACTCATCCGGTCTTTGTAACCTGCTGCCGGCTTCCAGACATCCAGATGAGCCACAGTCTGACTGCTTCCACCTGTCAAAGTGTGCTGAAGTGTCGCTCCTCTCTCCCTGCACTGTTCAGTCTCTGGAAACTGAACTCGGTCTCCTAATATCGTATCGACAGCTAGGCCTCCTACGAGAGAAAGGTGGACAATAAGTAAGAACATGCGCAAAGTATGAGCTGCCATCTTCAGTCTTCTTCGGTGTTGTCTGGATCCTGTGCTTTTTACAAATGCTCTCTCGTTATTCTTTCCGACCTTTGAGAGAGGGATCCGACTCCTTTTTTCAGAGCTGTGTGAGAGAGGTGGAGTTACAGCAGGTGTCCACAGAGTGCAGACTGGACCTGCTCCAAATGCTCTCTGTTTTATACTCTTTGTTTTCGGGTGTTCCGCCTACATTTGAAATGGTTCTACCCACATTGTACATTGTTGATGGTGTCCGCCTACATGTTTTAGTGTTACCTCATTTGGAAAAAGGAAAGCAGCCGAGCAGGAGAGCGTGTGATTTTATGCGAGAGAGAAACAGTCTGAAGGAAGAGAGGAGACTTCAGCACAGTTTGAAAAAGGAAAGCAGTCTTCGTGTGGCTCAACGGGAGGATTTCTGGAAGAGAAATACGATGGGTGATCTTTTCGAGACAAAAACACATGAGGCAGAGGGAGAAAAGTTCCTCAAGTATCAGGACTTCACAGTAATCATATGGCAATCTAAATGTGCTTTATGTACAACACATGTATGGACATTTCACCTTTCTAAATTATTGTTTTATTTATTATATTGGTTTTAGATAATAATAAACTAATAATCTCTCAGGAGCTCGTGTCTGAGTCTGTCTGTGGCTGCTTCCGCCTCTCTCTTTCGGCAGCTCGAAGAATCGCCCGTCTCTCTCACAGCTCAAACAATCCTGTGCGTAAAATCAGGCACGAGCCAACTCGAACGACCCCTCTCTCTGTCGAAGCTCTCGCGCCCACTCAATCCCTCTCATATGGAGCTCGTCGCTGCTTTCGCCGTTGGCTTCTCCAGTCTTATTCTCAGATCAAGATCCCTCCGCGTACAATCTGACACACCAAAAATAAAGTGGAACTCGGTCAGTTTGTCGTGTTTGAGCTGTTAAAGTTCAAGGACTCGAGTGATTCTGTCTCATAACCAGAAATCCTCCCGTTGAGCCTCACGAAGACCTTTTTCAAAATGTGCTGAAGTCTCCTCTCTTCTTTCAGGCTGTTTCCGTGTTTGCCTCTCGCGAAAAATCACACGCTCTCCTGCTCGGCTCTCGCTGCGTTAACTCACTCCTCACTGGCTGCTTCCAACTTCGCAGAGCCGGCTGTCGGGCACGAGCTCTCTCTCTCACAGCCTCCCTCTCTATGTGTGTCTGACCAGCCAATGAGAACATGTTGATGTGTGTCTTCACGGTGCCGGCTTTAGCGAGGCTCCCTCTTTCTCACAGCTGGGGAAAAAAGGCTGAATCTGAAAGAGCAGACTCCTCCCAAGCGAGATTCTGCCTCTCACTGCTCACTGAGAGAGAGAGCTCGTGGCCAACAGCCGGCTCCGTGAACACGGAAGCAGCCAATGAAGAGGAGGGAGTAACTATCCCTCCGAGAGCCGAGCAGGCTCTGTGTTGTGTCAAAACACTGGGTTAGATCCGGGTTTTTTTAGACACCACCTCTAACTCCGCAGCAGACTCTCTACCTCGTAAAAAACTCTGGATCTAACCCTGTGCTTTGTTAAAACACAGGCTCTAAGCCGGTGCTTTGAGAGGGTCATAATCATATGGCAATCTAAATGTGCTTTATGTACAACACATGTGGACATTTCACCTTTCTAAATGATTTTTTTATTTATTATATTGGTTTTAAATAATAATAAACTAATAATCTCTCAGGAGCTCGTGTCTGAGTCTGTCAGTGGCTGCTTCCGCCTCTCTCTCTTTCGGCAGCTCGAAGAATCGCCCGTCTCTCTCACAGCTCAAACAATCCTGTGCGTAAAATCAGGCGCGACCCAACTCGAACGACCCTCCCCACAGCAGCTCGCGGTGTGACCCCTCTCCCTGACGAAGCTCTCACTGCATGTGGAGCTCGTCGCTGTTCCGGGAGTTCGGGAGGCGGAGCTTAGATAGTCCGACGAACTAGCTCCGCTTCCCGAAAATTGAAACAGACCAGACACATAAATAGTGGAGCATGTCAGTCCTTCTTCAGTTGAGCGGAGCTGAGGAAAGCTGCTGTGTCTAAAACTCTCGTACTGTGATGCTGAACACGGAAGCAGCCAATGAGGAGGAGGGAGTAACTATCCCTCGGAGAGCCGAGCAGGCTCTGTGTTGTGTCAAAACACTGGGTTAGATCCGGGTTTTTTTTAGACACCGGCTCCAACTCCGCAGCAGACTCTCTACCTCGTAAACAACTCTGGATCTAACCCTGTGCTTTGTCAAAACACAGGCTCTAAGCCGGTGCTTTGAGAGGGTCATAATCATATGGCAATCTAAATGTGCTTTATGTACAACACATGTGGACATTTCACCTTTCTAAATGATTGTTTTATTTATTATATTGGTTTTAGATAATAATAAACTAATACTCTCTCAGGAGCTCGTGTCTGAGTCTGTCTGTGGCTGCTTCCGCCTCTCTCTCTTTCGGCAGCTCGAGGATTCTTCCGTCTCTCTCACAGCTCAAACAATCCTGTGCGTAAAGTCAGGCACGAGCCAACTCGAACGACCCTCCCCACAGCAGCGGCTCGCGCTGTGAACCCTCTCCCTGTCGAAGCTCTCGCGCCAACTCAATCCCTCTCATATGGAGCTCGTCGCTGCTTTCGCCGTTGGCTTCTCTAGTCTCACTCTCAGATCAAGATCCCTCCGCGTACAATCTGACACACCAAAAATAAAGTTGAACTCGGTCAGTTTGTCGTGTTTGAGCTCTTAACATTCACGGACTCGAGTGATTCTGTCTCATAACCAGAAATCCTCCCGTTGAGCCTCACGAAGACCTTTTTCAAAATGTGCTGAAGTCTCCTCTCTTCAGGCTGTTTCCGTGTTTGCCTCTAACGTAAAATCACACGCTCTCCTGCTCGGCTCTCGCTGCGTTAACTCACTCCTCACTGGCTGCTTCCAACTTCGGGGAGCCGGCTGTCGGGCACGAGCTCTCTCTCTCACAGCCTCCCTCTCTCTGTGTGTCTGACCAGCCAATGAGAACATGTTGAGCTGTGTCTTCACGGTGCCGGCTATAGCGAGGCTCCCTCTTTCTCACAGCTGGGAAAAAAGGCCGAATCTGAAAGAGCAGACTCCTCCCAAACGAGATTCTGCCTCTCACTGCTCACTGAGAGAGAGAGCTCGTGGCCAACAGCCGGCCCCGTGAACACGGAAGCAGCCAATGAGGAGGAGGGAGTAACTATCCCTCCGAGAGCCGAGCAGGAGAGCGAGAGAGAAACAGTCTGAAAGAAGAGAGGAGGCTTCAGCACAGTTTGAAAAAGGAAAGCAGTCTTCGTGTGGCTCAACGGGAGGATTTCTGGAAGAGAAATATGATGGGTGATCTTTTCGAGACAAAAACACATGAGGCAGAGGGAGAAAAGTTCCTCAAGTATCAGGACTTCACGGTAATCATATATCGCACTTTAAATATGCTTTTTGCACAACACATGTATGGACATGTCACCTTTCTAAATTATTGTTTTATTTATTATATTGGGCTTAAATCATAATAAACGATATAACTCTCTCAGGAGAGGTGCGCGAGTACTCTCCCACACAGCTGGGAAAATGCTGCATCCGCGAGCTTGCCGCACGAGAGAGGGATCTGATCTTTCAGAATTAGCCTTTTCCCCCGAGCTGTGAGAGAGAGGTACCGGGCCCGACATTCAGCGTGGTGAATACACGGCTCAACAACCGCGAGCTTCCATCGAGAAGTCGAGCCCGAGCCCTCTCTCTGAAATCTCGGTTACAATAAACTTGGAATTCAGACTCCTCCCATAAATTTAACCGAAATCAAAGAGTATTTAAAGAGAGAGCATTTGGAGAAGATTCAGTCTGACTTGGGCTGCACTCTGTGGACACCTGCTGTAACTGCACCTCTCTCAGCGCTCTGAAAGAATAGTATTAACGAGAGAGCACTTGTAATAAGCACAGGATCCAGACGAAGAAGACGAGATGGCAGCTCATACTTTATGCATGTTCTTACTTATTGTCCACCTTCCTCTCGTAGGAGGCCTAGCTGTCGATACGATATTAGGAGACCAAGTTCAGTTTCCAGAGACTGAACAGTGCAGGGAGACAGGAGCGACACTTCAGCACACTTTGACAGGTGGAAGCAGTCAGCCTGTGGCTCGTCTGGAGGATGTCTGGAAGCCGGCAGCAGGTTACAAAGACCGGATGAGTCCAAACGAGTCCGTGGTCTTAAACAGGAGCAACATCAACGACCAGGGACTGTACGGGCTAACCTGCGGCTCAGAGGAGAAACGTATCCATCTGAATGTCATCACATCCTCTGAGAAATCAGTGCCTGAGGGACAGGCTGCTGGTTTTACCTTCCACTACTTTACTGCAGGAGAACTCGGGAGGTACAGAGTGGAGAGAAACACACAGCTTGTGTTTGAGCTGGACCTCTCCTCCGGAAGCACCTCACAGGGCTCAGGGTTTGAGAACAGAACATCTGTAGCCCCTCACTGGAGGACAGATGGAGACCTGACTCTGACCCTGCAGGGGGTGAAGCCCGAGGACCGAGGAGATTACTTTCTCTACGTCCTCAAGGACAGAAAGAGGGGACATCTGCAGGCTGTGAGGATGAGGGTCAGCCCTGCGCTGAATACACCAGAGGAGAGGAACCCGGAACAGATCACCTGCACCCCCCAGCCACCACGCGTGAGTACAACACTACAAATATTGATTATAAAATGCAGCTTATGGAAACCTCTTAGATATTATCGGACTTTAGGGTTTTGTTTAAGGTGTCATCATTTAGTTTCACATCATACTAAGTTCCTCTTGTTCTGTTTCCCCTGGAGCAGAAGAAGACCCCGTGGATCACCATCGCCATCATCGCTGCTCTGGTTCTGGTTGCACTTGGTGTTGTGTGTAGGCAGAGGATCTGCAGATCAAATGTCTCATCCGGTGGAGGAAGATCTCTGACAGAAGAGGAGAGTCAACCCATCACAGACCCTCGTGTTCCAGAAGAGAATGGACACGCTTCATTAGCTTAATATTTATTTATAATGTCTTTTATTTTCACTGCACTTTCCCTTCGATGTCACACTTTTCCCCTCTCTCTGGGAAAATAAGGGATTTCTGAATCTGATCTTTTGCTTTGCCAATAAAATAATAAAATGTATTTGTGTTGTGTTTGTGTGCTGGACTGGAGGTGAATATATTTTCTCCAAAACATTTTAAAATAACCCAAATATTTTAAATTGAAAACCTGCATCTTGAAATAAATGCACATAAAATATTTAAAAAAGAATGATAATATAAATGGACGGTTGGAAACGAAATAAAAACCCAGCTCATCAGACGGTAACATCTCTTTGATAAACTGCGGGATGCTGTTTTTACACAGGGTTGAGGGCTACAGTGAGCACTTGTTGACTGATGGAAGCAGTGTGTGTGGCTCAAAGGGCCTTCCATAAATGTTAGGACTGCGCACACAGTCTTGCAGTGTGAGGGTCGGTGTTAGAGTCGGTGCAGGTAACTCAGAGTTTAGGCAGTAATTGTTCAGCTGAGTTTGAAAAACTGACGAAACAAACTGCGAGCTCTCAAACGAGAGGGAGAGACATCACAGCGCGAGCCGCTGCTGTGGGGAGGGTGACGTTGTTCGAGTCGGCGCGCGCCTGACTTTACTCACAGGATTGTTTGAGCTGTGAGAGAGACGGACTTTACTCACAGGATTGTTTGAGCTGAGAGAGACGGACGCATCCTCGAGCTCCCATACGAGGGGGGGATCACCGCGAGGGCCGGTGGAGGTTCGCGAGCTCCGGAACGAGAGAGAGGCGAAAGCAGCCAAAGACAGACTCCCGAGAGAGTGTATTAGTTTATTATTATTTAAACCCAATATAATAAATAAAACAATAATTTAGAAAGGTGCCTTTTCTGACAAATAGAAAAGGCCATGGCTATTTTTTTTTTATAAACCAGATGAAAACATTGAGACAAAATCTCATTTGCAATGCTGACCTGGCCAAGAAGGCAGCAACGTTACACGTTCTTACACATAACACCACTAGATTTTGAGACAATCTCAAGCTTGCGAGCTTGTCCCAAAACCTAGTGAGGACTCCCCTAGACTCCCGAAACGTAGTTTATTTGTATTTATTTTTAGTGCTCGCGAGCCTAATTTATTTATATATACTCTTTGTTTCACTCTTTGACTATAAACAGCGATTGGAATCCTACAGAAATCACAGTTTTGTCATTTTGCAGACACCTCGTGCCTAAAAAAGAGGCCATGTGTGGATCATGACGCAGTCGATTTACACTGAGGTGCACAATGGGCAGGATTTAATACCTTTATTTATTATTTGTTAGAATAACATTTCCCATGGTCAGCACGCCAACCCAAATCTAATAATGTTTAAAGGCAAAATATGAATGCGGGAAAATCTTAAAACAGGTTTAAATATCCTAATTCTGGGAATTGAAAAGACAAATTGTTTAAAGGCCAAAGAGTAATATTCTCTTATTTTCTATGTTTTTTAAAATTATTTATGCTTTTTAATGACGGTCTTTAAATGCCATTTTTTAAATGTATTTCAACTGCACTGTTTCTTAATTATCTTAATGTCTTTAATTTTTGGAAAGCAAGGCAAGGCAAGTTACCAACACGTAAGAAACTTAATTATTTCCTTGAATCAACAAATCAAAAGGCTATAACAGCAGTTCATTACAACATTAGACACAATGAATATAATGATTGTTTGCGTATACTGCTTAGAAAACCAAGGTGGTGCAGTGCAAGTGAAATGTTTTGTAATGCACGAGTCAACACGTTGCTCTCGAGAAATCTGATGTACAAATTCATCTGTCGATTGAATGTTTCTCATAACTCTGTCATTATGCTGCTTTCAAATCCGTGTCTCAGTGCTATACGATACCAGTCACCTCTGTGGAAACATTGGTATAACTGCCTTTTTAAATTTATATTTGAGTGTTGTATGTCTTTTAATAATGGACCAAGAGTCTCTTTAAATAAAAGCTGATGATGAATACAGGCAGGGGTGAGTCTACCTGATAGTACATATTTCTAATGACAGAACAAAGCCAAAGTAAACAACCAACCGCGAAAGTATTCATGATGTTTGTCATCATGCAGCCACGGCGGGCATAAAAGAGTATTTCTTACCATGGGAGGAAGGTAGTTTTACATCAAGGTGCATGCATGACGTGATTTAATGTGCCAAAGACAGCAGAGTTAAAGTTCATCATTGCTCGGGCCTTTTAACCCCAGAAACAGTCTCTCCACTGGGTCCACTCTGCAGGAAGTAGACCTAAATGGAAGCTTATCCGTGATTAAACTTCACTTGCATTTCTCCCGTGGTTCCATCATATATTTAATTACACCGGTTTATTGTTGATCTTCTACGGCTGCAAACATTTCGCAGCAGCGAGCAAACAAACATTTTCAACTTTAAAAAACACACAAAAGTCAAAGTTCAACCCGCCCACACTGATCTGATATTCCAGGCTTTTCATTGGCCAGGATTTACACCAATACAAATACATATCCTGATTGGATCTGGGCCTATCCGGGCCTTCCCTTTGCTGCGCCTTCAATGGTGAGTCGGTCCTTCTTGCAGTAACAGATGTTACAACTGAATCTGTTGTGGGTAACATTTCCACATTAAACATGTCAAACAATGACTGGACCTATAGACCTAAAACCTGCGTTAGTGTTGTGTGCCAGAAGGGGGCATATCAGTACATTCTTTGTACTGTTTCTGTTTCTGATGTTATAAAGCGTCTTTGAGCACCAGGAAAAGCGCTATAAAACGTACATTTATTATTATTATTATTATTATTATTATTATTATTATTATTATTATTATTATTATTATTATTATTATTATTATTATTATGGTGCAGGCATTAAAGTCCTGACTGCTCTGGGGACTTCCTATAGCCATTATAGGAAGTCCTTTTTTTGTTTTCTTTCTAACATTTTTTAAATGTTGGTGAACATTTTGTTGTTTGTTAGACTCTGCACAAATAAATATACCTGCTGTAAGTTATATGCTTGGTGGTTTGTTCAAATAATTGGTTAATAAAAACTCAATCAAAATGAATAAATTCCACACATTTACTTATTATAATTATGTTTTATAAACTCAATTTATTCAGGACTTTCTAATCAAATTGTTGTGATTCAAATCTATTTAATTATATTAATTGTCACTTTGTTGCCACCATTTTTTAAAGTAACTATTGGTCACAGTTTTTACAGCGCAGTAGCTGTTTTAAAATGTATTAAATTGTCTTATTGTGCCCCCTGGTGCCCACATTTGAAATACTGGTGCCGGTATAGTCTTCTTTCAAGGTTCAAGGTTCAAGGTTCTTTATTGTCAAACTGACATAGCTACAGAGTAATTATGTCGTTGAAAATCTTATGTCACAGGCTTCTCCAACAACAATAAAAAAAAGTCCATATTTACTAATAACAAAAAAGAAAATGTATTGGCATGAACTTAGCAACCTGGTCGTATAAAAAATATATAAAAGTTAGCTCCACATTTACCTGGATCACATTAAAATGTTGTAAGTATATTAGTGATATAATTTGCCTGATATTATAAAAAAATGCACAATAAGTACTTTTATTTTTGGAAATTTAAATGTACTTTAGACTAAAGTAAAATCCTGAATGCATCTTTTTTTCCTTTCCTGCAGTTTGGTACAACTCATTTTACTTGAAGTACTTTCTCCATCACTGACCACTTATTTTGATGTCTTCCTATACTGAAGAAAAACAACAAAGAAACCCTGCTCAGCTCTCATTCAAGCAGCGGCATGGAATCATCTTCAGGTACATTTGCCAGAGGAGAGAAGCGGTTAACGGACAGTAATGGGTGGGAGAAGGTTTTTCTACGTTGAGGTTTGGCACCGTTTGAATGTGATCCAGACTCGGACATGCTCATCGAACGCTGAACCTGCGAGGAAGAGGAGGCTGAAGGAGAACTGGGGACACTTCGAAAGGTTGTGAATCGCCTCAAAAACGGGTCGGTGCCAGTATGCAGGGACCAGCGGTCGAGGCTGGCCCGTGGAGATGTCACACCACAGCTTTGCGCCCAAGTCACCGACCGTGACCTCCTCCAGGCGTAATCCTGTGTCCGAGGCCATGAGGGTCTGGACCCCGTGGTCAGAGGCCTGGTCCGTGCCCATGCGGAGGTAATCGAGGCCCAGCTGTACAGCTCTGATGACCGCTCTGGAGAGGCAGTCCGCGACCACGTTAGCCTTACCAGCGATGTGTTGGATGTCCGTGGTGTATGTATGAGAGCTGGTGTTGCTGGTGGGCGGACCACGGCTCGGCCACCTTGGACATGCAGAATGTGAGTGGCATGTGGTCCACGAACACCGTAAACTCATGGCCTTCCAGCAGGAAACGGAAGTGGCGAATCGCCAACCAGAGGCCAAGGAGTTCCCTGTCGAACGCACTGTACTTGCGCTCCCTGGGGGTTAACTGGCGACTGAAAAAGGCGAGCGGTTGCCAGGCGCCGTCGACCCATTGTTCATGCACTGCACCTACAGATTAGTCAGACACGTCGGTGGTGATAGTGATGGGGGCCTTGTGTGACGGGTGAGCCAACATGGCGACTTCGCTGAGGGCGGCTTTGGTGGCATCAAAGGCAGTCTCCCTTTCAGCCGTCCAGTCTATGGCCCGAACAGCCCGAACAGCCCGAACGGCGTAACCACCGCAGTTTTGGGGACATCTGAGGGGTGCACCGGAAACTGGTGGTAGCCCCGCACCAGATCCACTTTGGAGAAGACCAGCTTGCCCGCCAGGTGTGCAGAGAAGTCCTGGATTTGAGGACTGGGTAGCGGTCTGGCGTAGTGGCGTCGTTAAGGCGGCGGTAGTCACCACACGGTCGCCAGCCGCCGGCTGGTTTAGGGACCATGTGGAGCGGTGAGGCCCAAGTTGGGCTGTCTGAGCGGCGGATGATGCCAAGACGCTCCATGTTGTCGAACTCCGACTTGGCGACCGCCAGCATGTCAGGGTTGAGCCATCGGGCTCTAGCGTAGACTGGGGGGCCTTTAGTGTCAATGTGGTGCTCGACCCTGTTTGGTAGTGGCGGCGAAAAAGGTGGGCTGCGTCAAGTCGGGAAACTCACTGAGAAGGTGTTGATACTTGTCACCCTGTGAGAGTGAGCTGGAGAGCCCACTGAATGATGCTTCGCCGCGGG